TTTTAAATCAGAAACAAAATAAAAACCAGCTCCTAAGAATGTCTAAAACGTATGCAGAGCTAATGGTTTATACTTGGGGTGGTAGCAGTGGCGGACCCAGCAACAATTATATTAACCTGTGTCATAATTTTCTTTAAAAAAAAAAAATTCACAACAAAAGTGTCAGTTGGAGAATCAAACTTGGGTTAAGGGGTGTCAACCCTTTGCAAATCCCAGTTGAACTAATGATTCTATATGTTTTACAATACAAAACAATCTTTTTTATTATTATACCTGTGTCAACTGACACCCCAAATCCTTTATTGGGTCCGCCTCTGGGTGGTAGGTTAATATACAATGGTGGTTATATTGAAGAACCAATGTAAAAGTAATTAATGCAATGGTTCTACTAAGAGAATGGTAATATCTTTTATATTAAAAGAGAAGTCACAACTTCTCTTCATGTGTGATATTTTTAAAAATGGACCATTCCTAGAAAGTAATATTTCATATATATCTTAATAACATTTTAGTTGACTTAGTTACAATATCTTTTGATATCTTTCTTTTATTTGAAATAAAATAAATATCTATTATATTAAAAGAGAAGTCATGACTCACTTCATGTGTGATTTTTAAGTTTGGATTACCCTTAGAAATTTTGTATAACATAACATCATTATAATATCTTTTCATATCTTTAATTTTTATTTGAAATACAAATAAATAATTTTAAGACAAGTCTAACAAAATATTTAAAAAATCTTATAGAATATTTTCAAGATATAGTTTCAAAAATTATTTGATTCAAAATTTAATTATCATAGAATATAATTTATTTAATTCATTTTTAAGAAAAAAATAAAATTATGTAATATACTTTTAACAATATCCAAAAATTTGTTTATGTATTATGTAGGTCCAATTTAATTTACTTTTTATATATTTTAAATTTAGAAATAAAATAAAATATATAAATTAGTAATGTTACATAATAATGTTTTTAAAAATTGTTACAAAAATACAAATTTATAAATTTTAAATTAATAATATTATAAGCTACATAAATATTATTATAAATTGGATAGTATATACAATCAAATCTGTTATATTAAAAGAGAAGTCACAACTTCTCTTCATGTGTGATATTTTTAAAAATGGACCATTCCTAGAAAATAATGTTTCATTTATATCTTAATAACATATTATATAACTTAGTTACAATATATTTTGATATCTTTTATTTTCTTTGAAATAAAATAAATATTTTAAAGAGAATTCTAACAAAATCTTTTAGAATCTTTTTCAAAAAATATATTAGATTTTTAAAAAAATAAATAGATATCAATTCATTGTAGTTAGAAAAAGACACAAGTGAATAAAAATAGGAAAATGTTTTTGTTAAATTTGTGTTTCACTTAACGTTGGAATATGTCAATTGTTTTTATTCGTTTGTGTTACAAATGAATGACATAAATTGTAATGTTATATGATAGACATATTTAAAGCTATGATTTATAAGTGGTATAAATTAAAAAAAACTACACATAAAATAAGTCATGAAATCAATATTCTTTATGTACAATGTAAAATGCATTTTTGAAAATTAATCAATTTAAACTGTTATTATCATTAAATATTATTAAAATATTTATATAATTAATCTTTGTAACTATTTTTATCATAGTATCTTTTAAGATCTTTTGATATCTTTCATTTTTAAAATCTAATANAATATTCTTTATGTACAATGTAAAATGCATTTTTGAAAATTAATCAATTTAAACTGTTATTATCATTAAATATTATTAAAATATTTATATAATTAATCTTTGTAACTATTTTTATCATAGTATCTTTTAAGATCTTTTGATATCTTTCATTTTTAAAATCTAATAAATTTATTAATTTCTTAATTAATAAGAAAAATACCATTATACCTTAATATATAATAATAAATTTCAGTATCGTTTATAAAATGAAAAACTAACTTTTATCATATTTTTTATTTATTTTATAATCATAATCTATCCTATTAAAATAGTTATTATGTTGAGCTAAATATGATAAAATCATATTAACATGATATATTAATATGTTTTGTTTTCATAAATATTATATTTATATTAAAATAATATAATATGTTGTCAAAACGGGTTAACATAGTACATTATATAATATATGTATACAAATTAGCATATCTTAAATTTATATAAATATATACAATAATTTGTTATCTAAAATTAATAAGCATATATAAATGAACATTTAGTTGACAAAAAAACAATAAATAAACATTTAAACATATGAATATTATTAAAAATATATACCAATAATGATTAAACAAAAATATATATATGAAATTAAACACCCGCTCGGTTGAGCGGGTCAAAATCTAGTATTTTATTAAATGTATAAACCAAAATCGGCGAAACTTTATATTACAAAAATGGACATGGAATCGGTCTACACAAAGACGTTCCTACAATAATATTTCCAATAGTTATAGTTATGAAATTATACATTGAATGAATAAGCAATATTAGGCATTGGACTTGCCGTTTATTCTTAGTTAAATCTTTGTATTGTTATCATATTTACGTGTTCATCAAACTCAATTTTAACTATTGCATGGTATTTATGAGTTATTTCCTTCCCTCGAAATAAATTACGGACCTAAATTTAGTTTTTTTCAATTAAATCTTTCTTTTTAAGATTGAGTAGACTTGTAAGTGGCTGTGGGAAACCGCTCGTTTAAATGATAACTTTTGATTCAATTACAAAATCATGTTTCTATAACCCATATGAAAAGCTAAAATTCAGCACGAAAACAACCAAAATCTAAGTTAATATTGCAAGGACCTAGTTAGTTGACCATCCATATGTACTTGAATTTTTGATGTATGTTTAGAACCTGCAAAAATATAATTCAAAGAACATGTTATGGATATGAAATAGTTCATATTGAAATATTCTTGATTCTATTGTTATACTGGACACATTTTTTAATAATTTTCAGATTTTGATAAAGCCTCTGATAAATTTAGCTATCGTAATGGCTTAGCAAAGTAGAATTGATAACTTATTTTCTTATATAGTTTTAAGAATTTTGTTTGAGACTATGTGTTCATTTTGCCAGTTCAGTAGTAATTCAATAGCGAAATTTATCTTATGAATTTCTACTTGTCCATGACAACTGATTTTAGGTTTTTATGAGAGTTATATAATGGAAAACTTCTTCTGCGGGTTATTAAAAGGAACCACTGCCGTTAAAGTTTCAAAATCTATGGATTTATAAATGATGGTCTTTCTACATGTAATGGAAGGGTCTTCTGCAAGTTAAATAATGTAATATAGATAGTTTGGAATCATGTGTGTAAAAGAAACCACCAGAATCAGAATAAAATGAGAGGATCGACGCGTCTGATCACCACTTGATCTAGCTTTAAAATGGGCGGTTGACAAAAAAAAAAAAATGAGAGGATATGTAGGTTTATAAGTTTCACATACATTTTTATTTATATTAATATAACACCAATGGCATTGTTAGTAATTATTCTAGATATAAGTGGGTATATGTAAAAGAAGGCTAAAAAGAGCTCTCATGCTGACATATCAATAAAATTACATATCTGTAAATATATTACACTTTAAAGGTTAGTCTTTTATTTTACTTCTCTTTTAATAATAAAATAATTATTTCTTTAAAGATGTTTAGAGTTGCTTTCTCAAAATCTCTCCATTTCCCTCTAGCCCATTACACAGCAAGACGTACCTTCATCATCATAGAGGATTGTGGACATTTTGCATTTTGAGTAATTTCATCAATTTCTTGTTGATTTACCCACATATATATATATATATATATATATATATATATATATATGTATGTTATTTGTAAGTGAAACAAGATGTTAAATTCTATTTGAAATTAAGATTGAATTGTATGCTAAAAAGTTGAACATATTATCAAATCAGCAAAAAGAAAACAATTCTTTTTTTGTGGTAGTATAGTTTTCTGTTTAATTTGATCCTTGCAATTAAATTTCAGTTAAAATTAAAGCAACATAGAAAATGAGTCTAGCTACCATTATTTTCATTTATATATATATATATATATATATGTAATTTGTAAGTGAAACAAGATGTTAAATTCTATTTGAAATTAAGATTGAATTGTATGCTAAAAAGTTGAACATATATATTATCAAATCAGCAAAATACTAGTTTACAGGAACGAGGGGCAATGGAATAAAAATCAATTCTTTTTGTTTTTGGTAGTATAGTTTTCTGTTTAATTTGATCCTTGCAATTAAATTTCAGTTAAAATTAAAGTAACATAGAAAATGAGTCTAGCTAACATTATTTTCATTTTTATTCAAAATTAGTGCATTTTCTACCTATGTGTCTAAAATGAAACAAGACTTTTTCATATGTTAAATTTGTCTTTCATACATTTTTGTTTTCAACCTGGGTTTCACTCTTAAACTATTTGATAACAAAATATAATAATGTTACTTACAATGAATAAGATCGATAGCTTTTTAGATGAAAGAGTCAAATGACATCTAAAGCATTGAACTAAAAGTTATAGGTTGCCTTTTGTAAAATGTTTTATATCTAAAATATACTGGTGCACTTGCAACCATAGTGTTTAACGTGGCTTCATCTCTGTGGTTAATTTTAATAAGTTCTCTGCGTAGTTCTATGTGTTATGTTTTCTTTAATTTCAGTCACTTTATGGTTGTTTGACGAGACGTTGCAAGTTAGTTTTGTTTGTTTTGGAAATTAAGTAATCAGATGTTTTCTTTTGTTCAAGTAGTAATCAAGTTTAACAAAAAAAAGAAGCAAATCTTAATTATTTATTAAATATAGAGAAATTAGACTCTAAATAATCTAGGAATTACTAATCCATATTAAATTTTAATTACTAAAATAAAAATTGAATATAAGAAATTTATTAAAAGCACATTTCTAACTTGATTAACCACAATTTTTCCAATAAATTAAAATTTTTCCCATCACCCGTCACATGTGCCACCACCACTCACATCACCAACACATCCGATCTCTTCTCCAAGAGACCAAAGCTCCGACTCCACCTTGATTAGCTTCTTCCTATAGTTCTCGACTTTCTCTTAAACCGCTACGATTGGGTCATAAAGTACACCCATTTGTGCATCACATCGAAAATCAGCCAACAAACCACAAGCTTTTCATACCCTTTCATAGAATGCTTCATACCCTCAACCAGACGCGCCTCCTGCAAATGCAACACACCAATCCTCTTATCTTTCTTGGACAATACCGGAGGTGTCTTCTTTGGTTCTTCAGGCATGGGCTTGTCCCTAGTGGCGAATGTTCCCGACGGTTAACGCCTGAGTGATGGTGCCTTTGATCGGCGGCAAATCAAATGAGACGGGAAACAACATTTCTTATCATCGTTTTTTGTCTTCTTCTCTCTAACAATTGAAAAGTGAGTACAGATGGGGTATCTATTGATATTTATAGTATGTGTTGAATTGACTATCTGTAAATTATGATTAAACTAAAAAGAATATGATATAAATTATAAATAAAGGAAAAAAAATGCTTAAAGATATGAAGTTAAAACTTTGGTATTACTTCATAAATATATTTCAGTAAAATTTCTTCATTTTTTCTTGAAGATCAAACTACTATTATTGGCCGCTTTTCTGCATGCATGTGGACCAATTAACCAAGGACAGATACTCCTCCATTCTCTTACTAAATGCTTTAGTGACAAAAAGAGATGGTTAGGGTATTGTTTATTGGGATATTTTAATATTAGATTCTTAACTCATCATTTGACATTTTTTTTTGTTTTTGTTATTTTTATACATTTTGATTAAGAATCGATTCTTATATTTTATATTTAAGAGTCAGTTTTTTTTTTTGGGTGCAATATTTAAGAGTCAGTTCTTAATTTTTTTTAGTTAAAAGTTAAAGAATGTATTTTAACCAAAATTAAGAACCCCATCTAAAACCCTCCAATAAACATGTCTATATACTAGACTTACTAATGCCTTTAACGAGCCTTTGTACGAGTCGGAGCTGCACACAAAATATATTCTTTTGTCGGGAGGTAAACAAATATAAGACTGTTTTTTTTTTGTATGGAAAAACAAAGAACAATATATTATAAACTGAGACATACCGTTATAAAAGATAGTGATGAGACATACCGCATTGTGTTTAAGCAAACAAAAAAGTATATGGCACATTGTATTTTGTAAAAGTCATTTTAATTAAAACTGGATATTGACCCCGCACGTCCCATGGATCACCTGTGAATATGATCATTAGTGATTAGTGTTTACACAATTTATTGTTGTTTTTGTTTTGAGTGCATGAGAGTTGGAACTAACCTCAAGAGCTCTGTTTTTGGCAAAGGCTTCAGGGTCTGCAGATAAATCGAAAGTATCCTAACCATAGTCACTGGGTAACTCCCTGGTGAGGTAAGACGGAGTTTGGACGGAAAAGGGTCCCAAGTACTTCACTTTGTCTCGTCCTCGGCTTGTGGAGGTCATTAGGCCGCTGGAACAGTTAGGCAACTCGTCTTATGAACCAAAATCACCATTTTGCCTCTAAACCATCTATAAAAGCTCCAAACTCACAAAATAACATCTCCATCACCTAATAGGGACAATTGTAAATGGACTGCACCTAAAGATATTATAAATGCATCTAAATGGACTTGAAGAGGACAAAAATGAATGCTAAAACCATGTAAATACACAAGATATCACATACCAAAGATAATTTCCCTTCACATGTCAAATTAAAAAAAAAAAAAAAACATGAGAAGCAAACACAAGAAGTAAGATGAAACCTTTAATATGGGATGTTTAGGACAGAAAGAAACATACCATGGAGGATTTGGGAGATCCGAGAGAGACAACATCAGGAAGAGGGTTAAAGCTGGAGCTTTTTGTCTGGCCAAGGAGTGTTGTTGGGGCACAGAACACTGCTTTAGTTCGTGAATGTTGAAGGCAATCTTCTCTCTCGGATTGAGCGTTTTTTCTCTCAGTGGTATTTATTATTATTCTATGCTATTTGGTGACATCTTGATCTAACGGAGGTTCACTTTTATGTAAGTGTTCTGTGAATGAGAAAAGAAGGAAAAATCTGAGAGGGGATATAGGTAGAAGTCAGAGATGTTGGGATTAGCCAATTAGGAAACAGCTTTAAAACAGTATCTATAAGGGTTTTAGCTATAAAATTCCTCAACTAAAGATGAATTGTAAAACAAATCATCGACTAAAAATTCAACGAGATAAAATCTTAAGTTTAAATTATGTTAACATTTGTAACTCTTTGTCTAAAATACCATGCCGGAGAGTGATATATGTTAACATAATTAAAATTAAGAGTTTATAATACCGAAAACTTAATTGAGGGATTTTCTTTAGATTCAAAAAATAGTTGATGGATTTTATCACTAAAAATTATTAATTGTCTCAAAATATTTATGATCACTTATGCTTTGTTTAAAACTTTTATAATCATTCTATAAACTTTAAAACTAATCTATAAATCTTGATGCCTCATGTTATTAATCTTATAACTGGTTTATTAGAATTTATAAATATTTTCATTTTTTTTACAATTGATTAAGAAGGCTTAACTTCGATTTGATAAGTTGTATACAAAAAAGTTGAACATATTATCAAATCAGCAAAACAAAACAATTCCTATTATGGTAATATAGTTTTGCGCTTTTTTTTTTATCTTTGCTATTAAATTTCAGTTAGGAATTAAAGTAATAGAAGGATGAGTCTAACTACCATTATTTTCATTTTTTCAAAATTAGTGCATTTTCTACATATGTGTCTAAAATGAAACAAGACTTTTCATATAAATATGTTTTTCTTGGAAAATATTGGAAGGGGAACAAGCCTTAATGAGATTAGCAAGTCTTAACAACAATATTAAATAAAAGTCACAAACAAAAGAGTTCCTTAAAACACACAGATCATTCCTTAACAAGCATTACTTTTTTTCCTTAAAGAAGCATTACCTAAAACCAAGCCAAGACTACAAAGAACTTACGCAGTACATCTCCACCTCTGTTGTCATCGCTGCCACCACTTCCATCACAGCCAGTGCCGTCTCCTCCGGCGTCATCATCACTACCACCGCTTCCATCCTCTGACGTCATCGACCATATCTCATTGTCCACCGATTCCATGTTACACTTAATCTCCTTTTGCTTCCTCAAGGTCTCTCCAATCTTCTCGTAAATAACACTTTTCTTCTATGGGCAGTCAGTTGGTCTGTGCTAAATTCCAAGACATCTTAACTAATTTCTTAGTGGAGTTTTCGTAACTCAACTAAAGCTTCTCCCTTCTCAACCTCAACGCACGAACCAAAGCTTCTTTCTTGGACATCGATCAGCGGCACGTCATCACCATTCCCCGGGGTGCCGTCAGCATAGGTTGATCTTGGGTAGCAAAAGGCCCAAGGTTCTCTCTGGTGCTGAACGTACGCCTTGCGGCGTAATGAACCAAAGGAAAACGAAGAGACTTGGAAGCAAAAGCTCTAAACATTTTTACTGATATGATTTTCGACCCTTTGTCACCCTCTATATATATATAAGAAAACTTGCTGGTATATAGATAAAGAATACTAATAAAAAAAGGATTTTTTCATGGAGAGAGTATAGTATATCAACGTGGCTCTGAAATAGCTATCGACGGTTGTTAGAAAATAGATATCCATCAACGGTATTGATCAAAAAACGTTTCCCATATATCAATAGCTAATAAGTAATAACTCAAAGTTTGTATGACAAATGTTGCTTAAAGATGGATATGATAGTTTTTTCTGCTTTTCCAAATGACATGTATAGAAATAAGTCTCATGGGCCATACAACAATATCCATCACTTAATTAACTGAAGCTGGAACATAGAGATTGGCCACAGATCTAACAGTAGTATTTGTCAAGTCTCTGAATCGATCTTGCATTTAACAAGAAGATAGAGCAATATCACACGAGAACTGAGATCATTTGTCAAAGAACTTATACTGAAAAGCTTCAATCAAAATACGGGAATAAAAACTAATTGACGCAAATGTGTTGATTTACTTGAACGTTCCCCATTCCATTAATATTAATAGTAGACCATGTGGAAAATTCACACACTTTCAACTAGAACTAGCAATTTTATTTGTTAAATTTGATTCGATTTGTTATTTCTCTCGATTTGATCCGAAAACTTTCGAATCAAACCAAATATTAAAAATGAATAACCGTTAAAATCAAAACAAAGCGGATATCGCTCTGATCCGAAAATATACAAATACATGTATATCTTGACCATATTTAAAATTTTAGATGTATAAAATTATATAATTATTATTCTAACACATGATTTCTTATCAATTCTATTCACATTATTAATTATATAAAATATTACATAAACAGAAGAGAAATTTTTTATGACAATTATAATTTCTTTCTTAAGTTTTGTGTTATTATAGTTGTTAATTTAAGCTTTAATTTTTTTACAAAATATGTAAAGTCACTACTTCTTTTAATTCTTATTTTATATATCATGTAAAAATATATTTTACAAAACAAGTTTGTATCAAAATTTTAAGATTATTTGTATTAATCAAAACATATGAGATATCCGTAAGTATTAGTATATATCCGCAAATATCTATTTACTTTTCGGAACGGATATCCGTATTTTTCCGAAGCAAAACAAATTCCAAAATTATATATCTGTTATAGAGAATAAGAACACAAGTTAACAAAACGTTTTCTTTGTTTTATTAATCTTCCTTTGCTTTCTTTAAACTTTCTTTCTTGAGATCTCCTTACACGTTTTGATCTCTATATATATGCAATAGAAACTACTTAATTTTTCCTATTACAAGTTAATCTAGGAACCTTTATCTTTATCCTAAATCTATTAGTTATTCACCTTATCTTTAGAATAACTTGTTTCCTAAGTTATCTCTTGAAGCTTATCCTTCTTTTGGATACTATTTCAGATTTTTGTTCGAATTGGATATTACTCAATATTTAATAAATAAAATAAATAAATTACTGTCTTTTAGATGTAACTCACCTTTAAGCCTTATTTAGTTACTAGTTATGGGTCCGTGCATTACATAAATTTTATTTGATGCTTTAATATTTATAAAATATATAAAAATAAGAATTCATGTTATAGTTTGAGGATGTGTTTTGCATATGCTGTATGAGATTTATTTTAGAAATTAAGAATTTGTTTTTCTAAAAAGTTCCGGTTAGTATTCAACACAAATTTTATTTGATGTTTTAATTTTAAAAAGAACATAAAATATAAATTAATTTTTTATATGTTGTGTGAAATATTTCAAAATTTAAAATTTGTTTACACATATAAATTGTTGTTAATATTTGTAATTTAATAATCATTGCAGATAAGTGAATCATTTTTAACTATATACTTAAGGCTAGAGAAAATACTCATACCTAAAAGTTTAAACCAAGTCTAACTCAAATTAAGAATTACAGTAAAATAAAAAAATAAAAATTAAATAAGATCAATCAAGTTAATGACAATATCATACGCATATCATACACTTGTTATATACCAATTCAATGTTTGTTTTATTTGACGTTAAATCTATAATTCTTATTGTTTAAATATATTCTGATGTTTATTGGTCATTTTAGTGAAATTTTTACTGTCGCTGTAAGATTTTTTTAACTTTTTATGAATTTATGACCATCAATATTTTTTGGTTACGTGGTTTTGAATTTTTAATTATTCAACCATAGACATAATTTTATCATCAATTTTATCATGTAATTAGTGATAATAAAACCATTAATACATGTATCTTATAGCCACAAAAAATTATGTATATGTTGAAGACTCTAAATAACGATTGTGTGAATAACTTTTTATAATAAAACATAATGTTTTAACTATAGTTTTTATGAAGACAAAAACTATAATTTTCTGATGATAAAATCCTAAAATAAATAAATAAATTATTTTATCATATATTGTAATAAAGTTAAAGAAGACGATCTTAGAGGTAATTAAGAAGTTCTTCTAATTTCATTTTAACTATATAATTTCATTTTAACTATATGACATTTAATATCATATATATCATTTGGAATTTTTATATAACTTATTAAATTTAATTTCATCCCTTTAATATTAAACCCTAAACTATAAATTCTGATGTTATACAATTTTTATGTAGTGTTAAAAATGATATTTAAGTTATAGTATTTCAAAAAATTTCTTTAGGTTTTTTCCAGTTTTTGATTTTATAACTTTTCCTATGTGTACTTAATTTATAGTTATTTTCAAATTACTTTTTGTACGAGTTTATATATTTCCAACTAACAATAAGACCGTTTTATTAAAATTTTCTGTAATTAAATAATTTTTTGAATTCATATTAATGATATATTTCCATAATTTACATTTAAATTTGTGTGTGACCATCAATATTTTTAACTTTTTTTTTAATTTAAACAATTTGTAAAATTAATATCTTCAAAATTATTTTTTATTTTCTTACTATATATATGTGTAATCAAAAGATATTTTAATAAATGTTATAATATTAATGTAATAGTAATTTTTCTTTTTTAAATCCTAAATAAAATATATTTACAAAAAGCTGTAATAGTAATTTTCCATTTTTAAATCCTAAATAAAATATATTTACAAAACCAACATTTCTAAATGATTTTTTTAGCAAAATTCGTTTTTGTCATTATCTAAATAATTATATATATATATATATATAAATTATGAGATAATTTAACAGATGTCATAATCTTAAATATATAATTGTCATGTGTCACAATCTTGTCAGGGCCGACGTGGGGTAAAGCCGATGAAAAATTGGCCTTGGTCCGCAAATTTTTTTAGAAAAAGTTACATGTATACATGCCTCAAAAAATAAAAAAATTTAGGCTCCAATCCGTCAAAAAAATATTTATGTGAGATCGTTAAGATATCGTCTTAAGCCCATAATTCTAGAACCGACCCTGAATCTTGTTAATTAATAATTTTGAAGAAACAAGCTTTATATAATATGATTAGGATATGTTTATCTAAACTAAATTCAATCAGAATCATGTTTTCGATCGGGTTAAATTTTTGGGTTTGTTTGTTTTTGTCCTGGTCTGAGCGTGACAAACTTTTCTCTCTCCCATATTGATATATGTATTACTTAATATATATTCCTAGGAAGTGCATGTAGGAATGGTACGCACACAAAATGTTGTAGAAATTTATTAAAAAGTTATGATCATGCAGGAACGTATTAAACACCTGGCTGGTGTATGGTAGAAACTAGAAACTATAACTTCCCTATCATAGAAGTTAACTTAAATTAAAATAAATAATTAGTATTAAAATAAATTTTATTTATGAAGATAGAACTATAAGAAATAAGGTACGTATACATAAATGTTGTAAGAATTTATTATGAAGTTATCATTGATGCAGGAACGTATTAAACAGCTGGATGTTGTATGGTAAAAACCATAACTTCTTTATCAAAAATTCAAGTCAACTGAAGTTAAAGTAAGCAATTAGAATTAAAATAAATTTTACTTGTAAAGACAGACAAGAAATAACTTTATATCTGACTTTATTATCTACTAGATCCTTTTTCCGGGCTACGCCCGGGTTATGTTGTATGAAAAACTCGGTTATTGTGTCATATATCTTTGTAAGAAAGATTTCTGGAAGAAAATATTTGGAGACCCGAGATGATAATATTTTGTAGCAGGTGTTGTTGATAACTGCGAAAACTGTGTAGCGAAAGAACTCCAATTTAATATTTTGTAGCAGGTGTTGTTGATAACTGCGAAAACTGTGTAGCGAAAGAACTCCAATTTAAAATATATGAGGTAGAAATTAATGTTTGATGGTTGTAGATCGTTTTAAATAAAATAAATTGGCGGAAATGATAGAGCAGCTATGAAATAGAAGCCTCAGTGAAATAATGTTCAGAAGGAGATGAGAGTTATCATAATTGTTAAGAAAAAATTATAAAAGTTTCAGAAAATAGGAAAATGTAAATCATGGAGAAATATGTGGTATTCTCGACGTAGAGGATGTAAATGGAATGAGATTGTTTTGAGCTAGAACCTGAAAATTAATTAAAATAAGTTAGTGACCATTTTGTAGTAATAGAAATCTGTTTATCTATTTCATAATATATGTATAAAAACCTAGAGGTAAGAATATATCCATCATCAGGGTAGCATTCTAGCTTCAAATTTTTGGTGCTATCAGCTAGAACACTGTCCATAAAAATGTATTTTTTTAGGTAAATTGTTATTTAAAATTCATTGTTTGAGTCTGAGTATAAATTTTCACTTACTTCATGGGGAGGTAGCCAGTTGAAGATCTCTTTGTAGATTATGTTTTTCACTTTCCGAGGGTGTGAATCTTGGGCTTTAACGATTTTTAGTTCTGCTTTGCTTGTCAAGCGTGAGAGAGCCACATATATTGACCATGGGCGAAGACCGGATTAGGTAGATATAAGAGAACTTCTTTCAAACTTTGACTCTGACTTTTGTTGATTGTCATTGTGTAACACAATCTGATGGGGAATTATCGCCGACGCAGAGCGAATGGTAGCTTTGTTTCATCATGCAATAAAACTATCCTAGGAATCAAGACTTCTTTTCCAATGTGTGAGCCAGTTATTATCTCCGCCTTTAATACTCAGTTGCCTATGTTGGTTAGGATCATACGGGTACCATTACATAATCCTTTTTTTTGGTTTATGTTTCGCAGAAGCATTACTGGGGCCCCAACTTTAAGAGTGAGTTTATCAGAAGGCAATCCTGAGTATTCCAAGGAATTAAGATACTGAATCGCGTATAACACATCGTTTTTATCTGACTGAGTATCCGAGATCTCAAAGCTATCGTAGCTGTAGTAGTCTTTTGACTCACCGTTTGTTTTGGAGATTGTATATGCATTGATCTCATCGACAGACTCATTTCGGGGTGTGAGTATAGCCTTATCAGTGTAGGAGCTTTGAGAGGCCTTCATTTTGTTGAGTTCTCCACAGGCGGCGTTGACAACTTGTTTTAAAGGGTCATCTTCAGCCGGTTGAACCAAGGAGTTGTCTACAGTTATCATTTGTTCATGGTAACCCTCATCAGCAGCTTCTTTTGACTGTGGACGACCTTCCCCGACCTTTAGAAACCACTCAGAGAACTCTTTCTCGTCTTGATTGACACGCATATTTCTTTTTAAAGAGAATTTGTGGCAGCTTTCCCATTGTTATGAGTGGCTGATCGAAGCTGAGACAGTATCAGCTCTACTCCCTTGTGGTATTACTGGTAAGATTTGTCTGAAGTCACCACCTAACAAAACTGTCTTACCACCAATAGACTGGACCACCCAAAACAGTGGGCCATGTGATGGGCCTCAAGACTATTAAGGCTCATATATCCAAAAATCTAGCTGATTCGTTCCACTAATCAAAGATTTCAAAGACAAAAAGATCTTTTTAACTACATTTTGTTACATAGTAACTAAAGACGCAGAACCTTGTTGTGTTTGAACACATCATTAACGGCGAAAAGCATTGCCTTCAGCTTCATTTCCATGCTGTGAATAATAGCTTCTGCGACGCACACTTTCTTCTATCGTCGAGCTTCCACCTTTCTCAACTGCATACACACTTTTATTAGCGTCGTCCAAAAAGCTTTCCCCAGGACAGATTTTTTTCTTGTTAGCTTCCACTGCATCAGTTTCATTTGCTTTCTTCAATCTTCTCCATCTTTGCTCCTCATGCACCTCTGCATCATTTGCTTAAATTTAACAGCTCTCTCCTCCTCTGATAGTTTAGAACCACCACCATTCCGACTCCTGTTCTGGTATCCATTCTCCCTCGAGGGGGGTTTGTCATTGTCTAAATCGTTTTAAAAGCCATGTTTTGGTTAATGGGCCTGTTGTAGGCTTCTTGAGATACTTCTGTACAAAATTAATTTAATTTGGATCTGGTTTAGCTTGGTTAACACATTTCTGCAAGGGTTTTATAGTCTTATTGATTTATTACCAAAAAATTATATTTTGAAGAAAAATGTAAATATACTAACATATATATTATACACATTATACAAAGCTTCACTGTTCTAAATTTAAGTAATTGGTCGAATTTTATTCTTTCCCTCGAGAATACTTCAGCTTCAATGCTTATGTGTGTGTATGTTGCAGTGCTTGACAGTATGGTAAGGTAATCTTCTGTGTAGAGATCATCAAACAAAATGTTTGCTCCCTTGGAGTTCACACTTCTGGTGATGGTGCTGAATAAGCTGACTTCTAAGATAGCATTCTTCAATCTGCACAAAAAAGAGAGAGACATTGTTTAGACTTTGACAACTGAATATAATAAAGAGTTAGATTCTATGTTATAAGTTTCATACATGTGATGAATGTGTATTAAGCAGTGCAACTCCACTGTCTTCAACTGATGCCTTTTCACTACTGCTTACTTTAGCTAGTTCCGACATCAACGTCTCCATCTCTTGTGTCTGCAAAATGCACCAAGGAAGTTGTTTCAGTTTCAGAAATTTTTCATGCTGTGTATTGTGATAAGCACATTGATAGTATTTTGCTAACCTTAGGCACAAAATTTCCAATGTTTTGCACAATGCCTTCCATAAACTTCGAGGCAACATCAAGTGTTTCTGCTAACTCTTTATACTCAACCTGTTTTTGAGAAACAAAGATTCAAGTTTTTAGTGAGTGAGAAGGGATACTTTCTTCCTAGTTAATCTAAAACCACAATACATACTTTGATATCAGCATCAAAAGGGAGCCACAATGAAGCATTCAATAAAGTTTCAGATGTTTCTGATACTGAAGTTAAGTATTCTTCTTCAAGAAGAGTTATCCATTGTTCCAAATAAGGAATCTGCAGAGAGTTTTAAACAGTTTAGTCACAAACCAAACATTTGTTGATGTAAAAAAGTATTGTCTCCAATCTAACTTACTTGAGACTCCACAATCTCCTTAAGAGCTTTTACTCTCAATAGTCTTTGAAGTTATATGTGTTTCTTCTGTACAGAGACTGAGAGCTCTGACATTTTCAAATCAAGGGAATAAAACATCCTCTGCAAGAAAGTTAATTCACAATTAAAGACTTTTGCTAGTTCTGACATAAACTAAACTCACTTCTGACACTGATGTAAATGTCAAATTCATAACGAACTATCTACAAATAGGAAAACACATTGTTTGAAAGTCTTGAGATTCATAAACTGACCTCGGCTTGAGCTTTCTGAGCTTGAGTTTTGACCTGAGCACTTGCATTTGCGAATCTCCATTGCAGGTAACGGTTATGAAGCAGTTTCATACAGTGTGCATCCGCTTGTTGTCCTAAAAATTTCTTCTGTTACTTTGTATCTACTTGACTCTTTGAGTTAGGTGCCACCAGAGGCATCAACGAACCTTTAACCGACAATGAAGCTCTAACATCATCGCAAGATGAACTCAAGGATCGGCGAAGAGGTGAGGAGGCGGGAGTGTTAAAGAGCTTTGCGTGATCTGAGCCGTTGGATTTATTATCTCCTTCAGCGTCGGTGGATACAGATAAGCGGAGAAGCCTAGCCGCGGCTGAAGAGGTAAGCAAACGCTGTTGGTTCACGGAGGAGGTAACATCGTCGTCAGAGAAGTGTCGAGACGGTGCCCGTTCTCTTTCAACGTCTTGGATCGATTCTGCTTTATGTCTTGTTGAAGAGGAAACGGCGAGTCTACACTACGCGCCGACTCGGAAGATCGGTGATTTAGAAGAAGACGAAGCAAATATGTCGTTTAGGTTAAATTGAGTGACGTGGAAGTTTGGTGGCTTGTGATAAGCTGATTATTTTTACATACGTGGACAGTCCCAGAGCTCTAGAATAAGCCCTTTTAATATAGTATAGATTGTTATTATTGCAGACACACACACACACACATATATATATATATATATACAGATTAGAAAGATCTACTTTTTTATACAATTGCATATAATAAGAAACTTAAAGTTTAGCATGATTAAAACATTATAATCTATTAGTTTACACTTAGCATTATTTTTGTAAAGATCTACTTTCTTGCCAACTATTTTTTATAAAGTAGTTGGCAATTGGGATAAATGTTATATTATGGGATCAACCTTGCAGCAAAATACTAACTATTGACAGAAAAAAATGAATGCACTGTTGTTTGCTAAAGCCAATTTATCATAAAGTATGTCTTTATTGTACCTTTTGTATTTTTTTTGTCAATACTTTTTTTGTCTTTTACAAATTTACAATTACCTCGTTCTTGTTACTTCCCTTTTATTTAATGTATATTATGTGTAACATAATTTTCAAGCAATTCTTTCACAAATGATATGCTACAGCCCACACAAATATCTATTTGAAGTCCATTTTTTTGGTTGAAGGTGGTACAACAAAAAGTGAGTGTAGCCGTCTTTCTTTATAAGACTACATGCAATGACCATGTTGAAAAATTAATTCAACCGTTGAAAAGCCACAATGAACCTGTTGAATAATAGAAAAACATATGTGGATTAAATATTGTTGAATTCTTTCAACATGTTGAAAGAAGAAAAGTGAGGCATGCCATTATAGCTTTTGTCAATTCTCAGCCACACAAATTAAAAAAGGTGTCGATATTGTATTTTTTTTTGCTTGAAAAACAAAAAATCTAATTGGTACAAGTGTCACCATATTACTAACTATTCAGATTTCTTAGATTTTTATTCTCATCCGAATTTCAGAAATCAATTATCTTATATTAAATAATACATTTAATAAAAATAACTATATCTAAATTCATAACTTTTCATAATCTATAAATAGAGGTTTGGTTCATTAGATTTGGACATAAAAAAAATCTGTTTTTGACTACAATATTGCTATTATTCTCTTTTTTTTTGGGGTAAAAAAAGGATCAAAATAATAACCATTTTAATACTAAAAACTCCATAAATTATTCTTCAAATTATCCAAATTCCAACAATTTTGACAACAATATTGCTATTGTTTTTTTTTTTAGTTTTCTGCGTGTGATTTAAGAGTTTTTTTGTTTGAATTGAGTCAATTGTATCATTAAGTTTTATGTTTTTGTTTGTTTTTTTATAAGTTTGTATCGTGTATTTGAATTTTCATAATGTAATTTTTTTAATAATATTTATTTTAGTCTTATTTTTTGAATAATTATTTACGAACATAAATTAAAAATAAAATAAACTAAAAATTATTAAATATTTATGTTATTTAATTTTTAAGTTAATTACAATCGAGATTATTATTAATATATAGTTATTAAACTGAAAATGAATTAAAAATAGCTAGTGGGGTAGGGTGTTGAACTTTATTAAACAAAACTATTGTAGAGATTAAAAATGTAATGGGTGTTGAATAATTAGGTGGAAGAGAGAGAATGTGATGTGTTGTATTAAAAAGAAAAAAGTAGGGTGTTGAAAAATTTGACCATTGTAGATAGTCTAACTGACAGTACAAGGACATTTACGAATTCCCCAAAATTTTGAGTAGTTAATTTTAGAGAGATTAACATTGTAGATCACTTTATGACTTGATTTGTCACTATAAATCACTTTGTTATACTAAGACACTTTTTCTATGGTTGAATACGAAATTACCCCTAAAAAATCAAGTGACCTTATTTCTCTCAGAAAAAGAAGCCGCCGTTGTGTGATCTTCATCTCTTCTCTCTCTGTTTGTTTTTTCTTTCTTTTTTTTTTCTTTCTCTTTTCTCTCTTTGTAAGCATCTCTCTCTTTTTTTTTCTTCTAGGAATTAACCTTTATCTGTGAAAAGAGATGACTATAATCATGGAGGAGAAACTGATTTCCGATGGGAGAACTTTGAATTTCTGAAAAATTTCCTTACAAAAAATACAAAGAATGCATACCAAGTGCTCGATAAATTGCCTGATACTATTGAAGATGTTTATTCATTGACCTCTTTATCAAATCTTTTGATAGCTAAAATTGTGCTTCAAATTTTGCATTTACTTCTGAACACATAGCTAGAAGCTCCTATTCTAAACACACTCTCTCGACAAAAAAAAACCATTGAATAAAAAAATTCAACAACTTTATCCAAAGAAAATGGAGTACATATGTACAATGAGAGGAACAAGTACATATGGACAGTTTCATATTGTGTACAACCTTGTATTTATTGTCTTTGTGTACAAGTGTACAACCCACAAAATTATGTACAACCCGCAAACTACTTAGCATCTATAGAAATCACAACATCCATATAATCGTTGAAAAATCTTGTGAATTTTAAAATAGAATAACAGACTTAAGATTTGTGCCTTGAATTCCCCAAAAATATGGATAAAGTTCACACCTTTGAATGAGGCACATCAATTTTGAGAACCATGAATCCTCATTCAATGCGTACATTCTCGAATGACCATCCCATAACGGCTAATCAAATTTTGGTTATGTGTTTGTGTGTGCAGTTAATTATAAAGCCAATGATGAAGCTTGGACTAGACAAGCCAGATGTGTTGGGCGAAAGGGATGATGAGATAGATGACATGAGAGTGAAGTATATGGTGGGGCTTATTAACGGGGTGGTTGCGATGATTGCGGACCGGTGGCGATGAAGTTGATGGAGTTGGCCACGACATGGAAGAGGAGCAATATATACATTGAGTCACAAAAACATACATGTACACCTTACTTACGATGTAACAATACCACTTAGATATGTACAAAATGTATTACACATGGATTGTACAAATTTATTACATACATACTTAGTTATGTATATGTGGATACTATATTTATTTGTACATATAGATATTCGAAGTATATGTACATTTGTGTAAATATGTACACGAGTAAATTGTACATAATGTCATTGTATGGTTTCGTTATATTTACAAAATTTTCATGTGTACACATGTAAATGTTTACAAAATTGTCATGTGTATACTAAGTTGCAGTTGTACACATGTACATGTTTCCACTATCTTTCTTCAATCTTCATACACTCTCTCTAACTCATTTCTTAACACTCAAAGCTTATCATATACTTCTTTTAGTGACTTCTATATTCTAGACTCTATTTTTTTCAACTCCCTCTGAAATACATAAAACTTACCAACATTCCAAAAAAAAATAGAAACTTTGTACAAATTAGTAAAATTTCTAGAAAAGATTGCAACTTTTTGGCAAGTTAATATTTTTGGGATCAGGAAGAGGTGAGGAGTTTAGTCAACATCTTCTTCATTTTTTTTATGTTTCTTTTCACAAAAAATAGACTAGAGTTAATATCACAAACAAAGTAACTTCTTCGATGGAAATTACAGACACCGCTCCTGTTAATAACCAATCCGAAGAATGAAAGGGGAAGATGAAATTTAAGGGATTTGATGGTGGTGGAAATATCACAAGTCAGAATCATTATCACAAGCAAAGCGACTCCTACAATAGCACTATCAACCACCTTTGAATGGAGTACGAAGAGTAGAAAACATAGAAGAAGGTTATGGAGTAAGAAGAGTAGAAAACAGAGGAGAATATCTGGGATAAGTGGTTGACGGCATATGAAAAGAAAGTCCCGTAGAAAGAGAAACCTAGAAAAAAATAAAATTTTAATTGTTTTATAAGAAGAAGGGTGGAATTAAAATTTCATGTTGTTTTTTTTTTGGTAACAAAGGAAATTTAGACAAAAGTGTTCTAGTATAAAGAAGTGACTCATTATGACATTAGTAACTACAAAAGTGACTCTCAAAGTAATATTCTCTTAATTTTACCTACTTTTTGTAGAAAGACATTTACGAGTTTTTTTCTTTAGTCTTGTCCTCTCTTCTTACTCTTTTGTAGTTAATAATATAACATTTTAAGTGACTCTTACATAGGGGTGTCAAAATTGTTCAAATGGGTCAACCCAACCCATAACCCAAATGAGTTGACTGTTAATGGGTCATGGGTCAACCCAAACCATTTTAATAAATATGTTGGGTTGACCTATGACCCATTAAATTATATGGGTCAAATGGGTTAATGGTTGACCCATCAACCCAACATCTTTGTCCAAATTTAAAATGGACAATTTTAAATGTGCTTTTTGCGGAGCCTAATTAATATAAATAGTGTAAAACATGATTTTAGGAGGCGGAAAAACATGATTTTACTATTTTGGCGGAAAAATATGATTTAACTAATTTGCGGGAATATATGATTTTGCGGTTTTGGCGGGAAAACGTAATTTTGCGGTTTTGGCAGAAAAACATAATTTTGCGGTTTTGGCGGAAAAACGTGATTTTGCGGTTTTGGCGAGAAAACGTGATTTTGTGGTTTTGGCGGGAAAACTCTAACTTTGCGGTTTTGGCGGGAAAATGTGATTTTGCAGTTTTGGCGGGAAAACGTGGTTTTGCGGTTTTGGCGGGAAAACGTGATTTTGCAGTTTTAGCGAAAAACGTAATTTTACGGTTTTGGTAGAAAACATAATTTTGTAGTTTTGGTGGGAAAACGTGATTTTGCGGTTTTGGCGGGAAAAATCTAATTTTGCAGTTTTGACGGGAAAACGTGATTTTGCGGTTTTGGCGAGAAAACGTGATTTTGCGGTTTTGGCGGGAAAACGTGATTTTGTAGTTTTGGCGGAAAAATGTGGTTTTGCGGGTTTGGCGGGAAAACGTGATTTTACGGTTTTGGCGAGAAAACGTGATGGGTCAGTCCAACTGGACAACTTTGATTTGGAGTTAATGGGTTTGTTTTTAATTTTTGATTTTAATTAAAAACTAAATGGGTGAGGTTGACCCAACCCGATAGACCCATTAACTTGTTAACCCATTAACCTGTTAACCCATTAACTTGTTAACCCATTAACCCGTTAACCCATTAACCTATTGGATCAAAAATAAATAGTTCATTTGGGTTAATGAGTCAATTTGGGTTGGGTCAACCCATGGGTCATGACCCATTTTGACACCTCTACTCTTACCTATCAAAGCTCGGATGTGGTACTTGGTAAAATTCCCAACAATTTATTTAAAGGTATGAATATAATTATAAGCGTTGGGGAAGATCCATGTGGTGGATGAAAGTTTGTATGGATACCACAGTAAAACAACTTGAGCAAATTTCCAAAAAACTAACTTGCTTTATTAAGAATCACTTAAACAATCTCCCAGAATCTTGGGTCATTATCTTCTAATACGGCTTCCTTGTATTTAGCTCCATGTGTAACACACTCACTAGCTTGTGTGACACATCAGCCTCACGCTCAAAAATCTTGAGCCATCTTGTGTGTGAAACAACCTCCTGTCTGCGTAACACACCAATCATCATGCTCAGAACCTGAGCTTACATTCTTCCCCTTTTTATCTTAATGTGACATCTCAAGCACCTGTCACAAATCATACACACCAAAGTACCAAAACATCCAAGCATTTGCATAGAGACAACCAAAATGAAACACATTTCAAAAGCATTCATTGATAAGGTCTGGATCATCCAAAGTTACACATGCGAAAGGTCATTTCTTCCTAGATAATTCATCGACATCGAAACATGAAAAGTGAAACACATGCAAAGTCTCAACAGTCACAACTAATATCTAGAAATCCTATTACTCGTCCTCCTCATCATCGCTATCAATGATGTGCACTGGTTCCTCTCCAACATATTCTCCCCCTACTTGAGTGCATCATTAGATAAAACAATCCTTTGAAATAGAAATAAAAGTTCAAAGGACTTACTTCGACTGCGAAGCTAGATAGCAAAAAGATCATTGATAGCCTTCTGTAGATCGTCGGCCAGACTAGGCGTTTTACGAACTCCCCCTATTCCTCTGCCAGCTTTAACATCTTTGACAAGAGCAGTGGGATGACCCGTGAGTTCTTCATCTAGTTCACGCCGTGGAAAAATCCGCTGAAAGTGTAGGAGCTGATGAATGAGTGAAGGAAACCCGATTCTTCTCTTAGTGTCGTCAGCAGAATAAGACATATCCATCAGCTGTTCATATGATATAATGCCAAAGTCAGCTCTCTTGTTGAGATGAAGGGCATAGAGAAACCTCAGACGGTCCGGATGCATGCATGTGTAGTTCATGGTAGGCATCCAATTTGTACAACACGTCTTGTACAGAACCTGATTGACAGCCGTGAAATATTTTGAACTCATACCTTCCCACCTTTGATGATGACCCTCAGTAAGGAAAGTAACCACAGTATCTAGATTCTCGGAGTACATGTCATAGGATGGATCACCTGGACTTAGCGCACACATGAGATCGATAATGCTAGGAGACACTTCATACATTGCTCCACGAACATATACAGCAACACCACCACAGATAGTTCTTGCATCTTCAAGGGTTGCCATAAATTCCCAAACAAGATCTGGAACATACGGTTCAACATCGATGGTTGTATAGATCATTTCTGAATTTACCACCACATCTTTCACAGTTTGTAGCTTCTGAACGTCTAGAGGAAGAAACTGAGAATCTACGAACTTCTTGTTGGAGAACTTCAAGTATTGTTGATAGGCGGCTTCTGTTGCAAATCGGGAGTTATACGGCTCAGAAGGGGGTTCGAACCACTCCGGTTCTTCCAGAACCATTTTTGCGAATATCCGTTGGCCCTCCTCATACCTTTGTTCTTTGTTCGTTGGACTTAGGCATTCTAAGCTTCTGTAACCCATTACTCTAAGTGATATCACTCAAATGTTTAACCCT